ACCAGGACTTAACCTGGCCATTCCGTGTGTGTGTGTGTGTGTGTGTGTGTGTGTGTGTGTGTGTGTGTGTGTGTGTGTCGTTCTGCAGAGAGCAGAACGACACAGTGACTTTGGGTTTGTTTGTAACCAAGCACCTCACCTTCCTCTGTTCTCTCCACAGGTGAAGGCTCTGCACCAGACAACCTGCAGCTAGCAGCAGGAGGTGGGAGAAAGGTGAAACATGTACACACACACACACACACACACACACACACACACACACACACACACACACACACACACACACACACACACACACACACACACACACACACAAAGCTTCTGGTAGGCATTATGGGGAGAATGTAAGAATATGAGTCAGTGTGAAAAAGTTAAGTAAGGAAGTAAATAATGGTGGCATATAGTGTGGGGTAAAGAGTCAATGGTAAGAGGGTTTCATATTGTGGAAAAACATTGTTCATTGTTCATTTATTTTAGATGTTGTCTTCCTACAACTGAAAGACTACAGAGATAAAGAAAATTGTAAAAGCTGGTAAAATGAGTGAGTGTTTCTCAATAATGTTGAATCATTCAGCCTCGGACTCTGTTCTTGGGTCGCCTGTAAACTGTTAAAGCTAGCCGCTAATGAAGCCTTCTGTCATGGCCATAACTACCATGATGCTTGACTTCATGAACAGATAACTCTGTGGTTTGAGGATTTAAATCCAGTTATTTATAGCAGGGTTTATGTACTGTTTGTACTTTATATTTGAACTTTTATATCTCACATAACCCGGTAGCTTCCTGTCCCAAAAGAATATTGCTAGAGGAAATAACACACTAAAATCAGCCTGAGTTGTGTTAGCTTTCACTACTCTTCTGAAGAAAATAAAGTGTTGTTAAATATGTTAGAGAAAGTTGGATTTGATTTGAAAACCTTGGCATTATAAAAAATAGAAGAAGTTGTTTTGTTAGTATTCAAACACTTCATGGCTTTAACGGCGCTTTTGTTGCTAAGACTCACAGTCACTTATATCTGAATGTGTAATTAGGCAACGGGTTGTTAACACATCTTCCATATCAGCTTCTGAGGGTGAACAGATGTCAGTGCTGTTTACAACTTGTAGCGTTATCTGCACTCAGGTGGACACAATTGTAATGCAGCTTTAAGCATTATTATAACTGGAAATATTTTTACATTAAAGCAGCCAGTCAGTGGGTTTCATGCTCTTGTTCGTTTACAGTAATTATTTCCATTTTTTGAAATAATACGGCAATGATTCACTGATTTTAAACAGTGTCGCAATAGCACCTGGTAGATCTGTAGTTCAGCCAGTGTGTGTGTGTGTGTGTGTGTGTGTGTGTGTGTGTGTGTGTGTGTGTGTGTGTGTGTGTGTGTGTGTGTGTGTGTGTGTGTGTGTGTGTGTGTGTGTGTACCTGAATGCTCTAATGGTAGTCAGACCCTCAGCGGTCTCAGAGAAGTGGCAGAGCAGAGGGAGCTGAGTGGAGTCATCGAGGTCCTGGAGGTCTCTGAGAGAGAGAGATAAACAATATGTTTATTCGGTTATATTGACAAGTTTTTTAGGAATAAATGACAATATTATTTATGTATGAATGCACATGCAATGATAACTCTCTGATGTCCTTTACACACACTAACATACACAGAACAGTGCCACAATCATGCCACACACATGTCTTATTGATTCATTTGCAAGAAGATAATAATAATAATAATAATATATTCCATTTATATAGCACACTTTAAAAACAACGTTATCTCAAGGTGCCTTTCACTGAAGTCTAAAAGTGGTTTGAGTTTATAAACAAAATGCACTTTTAATCCAACAAACACACTCACTTGGAGGCCACCCTGAAGTACTTCTGGATGAAGTAGAAGGCGATGGCCAAAGGAAAGAGAGCGATGAGGAAGGCTGGAGTGATGGAGGAAATCACGCCGATGGCCGACAGTAAGAGCAGCGTGGATCTCGTTAAAGACTCCAGGGTGGGAGGAATGTGCTGAGAGGAGTAAAACACGTAGACAAAGTTAGAGAGGGAATTCAGGAAGTCTGGAAGAAGCTGAAGTATCTCAAACCGTACCTGATCTATGATGTTGGTGTCGGCGGAGAATCTGTTGATGATCAGCCCCAGAGGAGTGATGTCAAAGAACCTGAAGGGAAAGGTGTTGAAATCACCCGTCAGTATAAGCGCCATCGAGGGTAACCATTTTTAATTATGGAGCTGGAAATGCGAGGAACATCTGAAGAAAAGCAACAAATTAAAACTCTATAAAAGCTGTCGACAAAGACAATAACTGCAATAGCATCCTCTGGCATACCATCCAGCCTCCTCAATGAACTCCAACATATCCAGAACTCTGCTGCCCGCCTCCTCACCCGCTCCCGAGACCACATCACTCCCGTCCTCCAGAACCTCCACTGGCAAAATCCACTTGTTCATGTCTTTTAGAAATAAACCCGTGTCCCCTCTGTGTAAAGAGACTCTGGAAGTTTGAGGAAAAAAGGTTCTCTCTCTTTTTATTGACAGTGTTTCTCATCCTTTCTCTGTAACAACCTCTTTCGGACAGTGTCCATTAAGGCAGAAATGCTCTGAAGGCTATCATCACTGTTCTCTCACCGATGATTGCCTGTTTAACGCTGGAATCCACGGGCAGGATGTTTTTCTCCACCAGCTCCATGGGGCCGGGTCTCTGGGAGATCATTTCGTTTAAGTTGTCGGCAAGCCGGGCTCGTTTCAGTCTCATCTGGGTGGCCTGTAGTGATGGCTCTGCTCCGGTCTCTGAGGAGAAAGTGAAAAGATGTCACACATTTGCTCGAATCAGTCGTAACGTTGACATTCAAATGTGTGAATCTCCATTTGAACGCTGTGCAGCTTCCATTTTGTTTGCATGTTGATTCTCTGTATTTGTGGACAGTTGCAGATAATATTAAGGCTCAGTATTTTCCCTAGAATTAAATGTAGAATTAAAAAACGCCACATGGTCCTTAATATCTTCTGATCTCGGGTTTCACCTAACTTAGCCTCTCTTCACACACAGAGCGACAGGTGAAGCAAACAGGCTCAGGTTTAGACCGCTTGTGTGACTTGAATAGTTTGGCATGCAGTTCATAACTTTATCCACTCAGAGTGTTTCTTTGAACCACTAGAAGAGAATAACTGGAGTAAAAGGCGGTAGCTACACGTGAAACCCTGTGCGGTGGGTTTAATTCGTGCCTATGGGAAACCTACTAGATAATAGTGGAAATAGTCTGTAGTAAAGACTAGAGAATGACTGGTACCTTGCAGGATGTGCATCCTGATCAGCTCTGCTCTCTCCGGACGGCTGCGGATCTTGTGCTTGAGGAAATTCTCCGTCTAAATAGAAAGAAAAACATTGAAGTTAATCCTCTTCTGTTATTCCAGGAGGGTGTTTTCTGAAACCACAGTTAGCACTTTATTTCCAAACGCTGTGCCGTACCCTGGCTCTCTCCAAGCTGCGAATCTGCCCATGGAAAGCAGCTGGGCTCTTCAGAGCTGCAACACACAACATTTTCATTAATGCACTAAGTGATATCACAACTCGTTGGCAGAGAATAAATGACAAGATACTGGGTTTTCTTGCATGTTATCAACGCTATAAACCGTATTTAATTTTGTCTTAATTTACATTATATTCTATTCTTGTACATATCATATTCTATTTAAATGAATATAGACTTTTTGCACTACTTTTTATTTTGTATTTTTGGCCATTTCTACACCGTAGCTTTGTGCATATGACAATGACAATTTGACAATTTGAATGTTAAATGTGGTAATAAGTGAGCTTTAGGTGCTTCAGGTCCATTCAGTCTGAACACAATTTTAAAGATAAACTATCTAGATAAAAATAGATTACATTTTTTTTTTTTATTTCAGCTATCTGCGTTCATTAGCCGATCTATCACGGCCCGTCTACACTACAGGCATCGAAAAATGCTTTCAACGCTTCGCCCATTCACTTGAATGGGGTGACGTAGAAGATTTTTAATCTTCGCCGAACTGCATTGTGGGGAGCATGGCATGGATTTGCAAGCCTCACGTGAGCATCAAAAGTTGAACAATGTTCAACTTTTGAGTTCTCGATGCTTGGCATCAGCCAATCAAATCCCGTTTATGCAAATCCCACCAGTGCAAGCACAGCCAATCAAACCGCGTGCAAGCTGGGAGAGCCAGACCGCAGTTCATTTCCTCATATTCCAAACGAGATATTACGGTAGCAAATCACCCGGTTCTTTACGACCGGAACTATTTAGCGGGATACAAACCGGAGGAACCAGGCATGGAGGGAGGTGGCAGAGACAGTGGGTGAAACTGGTAGGTTTTTCGCCTGTTTGGGGAGTTTATATCCAGTTTACTTCGTTTTAACATTGCTATTGCTTTGTATGTCGGGGGCGGGAGATTCATGTGATTGGTTGTTGGTCGCGTTGCTCGCAAAAAATCGCCAAGCTTCAGACACGCCCAGCTTCAAGATTTTTTGATGCCTGTAGTGTAGCCGGCCCTCAGTGATGGACAGCTGACTCACATGGCATGATGCCCTGATCCACCAGCTGCTCGCGGGTCCGCCTCTGCTGAAGCCTCAACTGCAGCACTGAAAGAAGAAAGAAGAAATTATGTTAAATAAAATAAGAGGTAAAACATGAGAGGAAAAACCGGGGAAAGCACACAGAAGAATATAAATATATAAAAAGGAAAATAAATAGAGAAGAAATGACATCGAGATGAGAAGGTAACCACAAACTGACCGCTATCCTCCTCAAACACATCTCTCACTTCCTGCTTACTAGTCATTAGGTCGACAACATACAATAACGTCATTTATATGCAAGTTATCATACCAGTCGAGCACATTGAAATACATTGTTTGCACACATAGGTGCATGGTACTGGAGAGGAACTATTTCTGTGCTGGCATATGAGGGACTTTTTTTGATCTCACACCTATAAGGTAACTATTGCAACTTCAGTTTTAAGAATGGGATAGTCCAACAATTCATTTCCCCGTAAACATCTCTTTATTACCAGGTTCAACACAGGTAGTGCTGTCACGATACTGGAATTTAACATTTCAAAACAATACCTTAAAGAAACAGCAGCATTGAATACCGGTTTTGATACCAAAGTGAGAAATGGACTAATTGAAAAAAGGCTTATAAAACAAGGCCAGTGTTTTCAAAGCGCTGTATGAGTTTGGAGTGTGTGTGTGTGTGTGTGTGTGTGTGTGTGTGTGTGTGTGTGAAGCAAGAAAGCTCAGCTGGTATTGGTGTATTGAGAAAACAACATTTGTATTGAAACCATTTCAAATATTCAGAAATGATGTGTCGAGAAATATATATTTTTTAACACTAATCTCGATCCTTCTGCTTCAAAATGCTACCGGAAAAAACAAACATTACAATGCTACCAAGTGATGCAAAGACTGACAACAACCCACCAAAGTGTGTTATCGAGTTGTTTCATTAACCTGCAACAATGGCTACAGCATTAGCCTAGGTGAGTTGAGGAAGTAGCATAAAGAAAAAAGGGTGCTCACCTGTTCTGAACCTAGTGCAGATGGGGGTCTCTACCTCCATACAGGCCATGGTCTGTCTTTATATAAACAAGCCTTTAGATCAGTCCAAACACCGGGGGATTAAGCCATTAGATCCCAACGCCTTTGTGTTAGAGCCCAACAGATGTAGCTTATAGTCATATCCTCTCAGCTGCAGTGCAACATGATCGGCCGAATGCTTCTACGAATTAGAGGAGCAACATTAGGCCCATCCTCTATTCCTCCCAGACTACATTTTTTTTACTGCAGCCACAACCCCCTCCTCCTTCTCCTCCTCCTCCTCCCCCTTTACTTCCCTCCCCTCACTCAGCAAAGTTTAGAACAGGGTTTTTTTCTGGCTGGAGGCGATACCAACATACCCTGATGTGATGTCTACTTTGGCTCCTACTGAGAGACAGTCTGAGTCAGCACTGAGTAAGGACAATAACCACTGCATCTTAAAGGGGCCCTATTAACCTCGGGGCTTTCCATTTCCTGTCGTGTGTTATATAGGTTTGTGTGCATGTTAATGGTCTTCAAAGGCTGCCTGAAACTCCTCCATTGGACCCCTTTGTTTACTTCCATAACATACAGACATCACTATGTAACACTCGCGCTCCAACACATGTGATAGGCTGAGGGTCGGGACATCTCTAACCGGTTAAACAATCAGAACAGAGCCGGCCAGCTAACCAATCAAGAGCAGACTGGGCTCTGGTTTCAGACAGAGGGTGAACAGAGGTTCTGCAGCACAGGCAGTATGAGAACAATAGAGCTTTTTGAACATTAGAACATGGAGACATGTCACAGTGGAGACACTAAATACTGATATGTACCTGATAATAAGCAAAATAGGGCCTCTTGGGGGTATTTCTTTACCCTGTGAGGTGGTTTTCTTGAAGTATCTTTGTAATTAAAATTTTTTATCATTTCATATTCCAGCTATTCCTCAAAAAACACGTTTTGGATATCATGCCATTCTAATTTTAAATGTTATACATTTTAAGAAATTGTAGTTTTTTTGTAGTACTCCCCCAAGCTTCCCTAGGTGGGTCTTTTTTGACCCGGTGAGGTGGTTTTCTCGAAGTATCTTTGTAATTACATTTTTTTATCATTTCATATTCCAGCTATTCCTCAAAAAACATGTTTTAGATATCATGCTATTCACATTTTAACAAATTGTAGTTTTTGTATTACTACCCAAAGCTTCCATAAGTGGGTCAAAAATGACGTGCATGCATTTCCTATGGGAAAACATTTTTTTTTTAAATGTGAAAAAAATTATCAAACATTTTAAATAGTGAAAAATTAAATATTAAATATTTCTAGCGTGAACCAAAATATAATACGAAATATTATAAAAGTGACCAAAATGGCATAAAAAACACATATTATTCTAATACATTTGACCTACTTATGGAAGAGTGTGTCGGGTCCAGTCACTGGTCCATCTAAGGGTTAAAGCTGTAAAGACTGATTTTAGGCTTTTATGTTGTGTTGCTGAGCCGACAAGATAAGGATGTGTCACATTAAGTAAGAGGAGGTGCTCTAATTAAATACTGACCATAAGTACACACACTTCCCCATTCACAGGAGGGGATGCATCAACACTTACAAGGAAATACAAGCTTACTCTCTCGGAAACAGGAAACAGCTTGTGCCCCCTCATCAATGTGGTGATAACACACAAAATCTTTCTTCCAAGGTAATAACACAGATTGTGTCATCACAATTGTCATATATCCAAACGATCTAACTCTGTCTGGGAACACTGCTGCTTTAAAACCAAGTCCAGTTATGGTTAAACTTTTACACACGTTGTCTACAGAAAATATACTCTGGTAGACGTTTTGCAGGGCTTGTTGTAAAGGCGCTATGCATCCTTATCCTCAAATTCACTCAGGGAACAGCTGGAAAAAAGGTATGCAGTGTGAATAGACTTCCAGTCAGTGTCATTGTCCTGGGATCCTCCGGGAAATGCTGCTCAGCCTGACAACCATGCTGATCTGTGACCTGTTCTGGCTGAGAGAGCTTGATGACTGAGATGTGTTTGCACTCACAGAGGCACGCAGAGAGCAGGTCAATGGAAGAAAAACAGGCTCCAATAAGAGATGTGTTTGTTTCACCTGAACACAATATCTAGACGTTGATTTAAAACCTGTTGAACAACCGAAACAGGACAAGCTGGCCAATCATAGCTGATCAAATGAAGCTAACGAAGAATCCGGGGTATAAAAAGACCCAGAATCGACATGTATGTAGACATGATGAGACTTGTTTGACTTTTATGGAAATACACTTGTTTTTCTTGTCGAGTTAGATGGGAGTTTTATCACCACTGTCTGTGTGTCATAGTCTAGCATTAAGACTGGGAACACAAGAGATCAGCGAGCTTATCTGTGTCCAAGGGGGGCGAGAGAACCCGCCTTCAACCGCCTCTTAAGATCACTAATTAACATCTTATTTGTTTTGTTTAATCATTAAAAAAACTGTAAAAAGTGTAAACACATTGTGATGTAACCATTCAACCAGTGGAGACTCCAGGAAGTCAATGTATTTAGCAATACAAAAGTCCCTGTTAATCTACAATTTGCCCTTTTTACACTTTGTTTTAGTAAGAATTAAATACAAATGTTTAAAGTTATTCTCGTTACAACAATCTGTCTAAGTCCTGTCTCGAGTACATTTCAATTTTTAGAGCAACTGTACTTTTATCGTACTTTCAAGATTATTAATATAATATATAGATTAGTTTATCTTTTATGAATAAGGCTACTAAGTAATATATGAAGTGTTAAAAATGAGCTCCACCTTTATCAGCTGCAACATTAAAGTAATAAACACATTAATGCATGATGGGCGGCAGTGGTTCAGTCTGTAGGGGATTGGACTTTGGACCGAAGGGTCGCCGGTTCACGTCCCGATCGGAAAGAAAAAAATACTGAGTGTTGACTGGTAATGGAGAGGAGCCAGTTCCCCTCCTGGGCCACTGCCGAAGTGCCCTTGAGCAAGGCCCCTAACCTCCAACTGCTCACTGGCGCCGGCTAGACTGGCTGCCTCCGCTCTGACCACTCAACTGCATGTTTGCATATAACTGTGTGTTTGTATGTGCATGTTGTAAAAAGTGTGTACTGTATTACCTGTATAAAAATGCGTGTGTGTATGACAGAGTGGAAACTGAATTTCCCCCTTAATAAAAAGGTCTATCTTCTTCTTCTTAATTAATGAAGTAATACAAGCCTTTGCAGACCATTCACAGTACCTGCACAACAACACACTACAGGAAAGGGAAAACCCCAAAAAGCATACTTGAAGTGAGAGTTTGGATGCAGGAATTGTACTTGTAGCAGTATTCCTACACTTCAGTATCACTGCCTTTGCTGACAGCTGCTCTCTACTCGTCCTTTTCGACCTTTCAGCAAACAAGTGAAGTTATCTCAGACACCCAGACCGGTCCGGATGGTTGACAGATTAACACCTGTGTGTTTAAACCAATACGAGGGAGGGGAAGTATGTGGTGGGCAACGTGCTGGGGATGGCTCGCAGAGTGGAAAGTATGAGGTGTGAGTTCTCACTGAGAGGGAAATGACAAAAGCCCAGATGATGAGTGGGTGCTACTACCGTTGGCATTCCTCATAAATGTTCCAGACGTGTTGCAGCGCTCCTGCAGACAGACCCAAACCCTACCATTATCCCAAATGTGTTTAATCCACAGCTCTGGCTGGCATTGTGACACATGGTTTATCTTATCGTGGTGATATATATATGCACTGATCTGATCTCACTACACCATCTAAGCCCTGATTAGGAACTGGCAAAAGCAGCAGCGGATCTAACCCACTCCTTAAGTCTGTTAATCGTGTTCCCATCCATCAGTGTCCCGTAAAGCTGCCAGAACGACACCGAAGTCCTGAGAAGCCGACGTGCACACTGCAGGAACACTGATGGGAGTTTCAGGAGAAAGTCTCACTTTAATGGCCCGTTTTGAGATGAATAGATGATTTATTCAGTACGTGCCTGCGTGCATGAGGTAGATATCCACATAAAGAAATGGAAGGAAAGCAATGCACTGAAGTGGACAGAGGCAGCAGCAAAACGTATTTATGTCCCATTAGATCTTTGTTTACATCAGAGTAACCCCTCGATTCCACCGGGTCCGTCTGCGTCGCGGTTTTGGTCCGGCCTCCTCCGGCGTCAAACCCTACCGGGCGTGTTTCAGAAGCGTTTCAGAAGCGTTTCAGAAGCGGAGCGTCTTGCCTGCCGGCTCGCAGTTTTTGTTGATTTGGGCATATTTCCTGGACAGGCTACTTTGTACAGACAAAGTTAATAATAATTGGAATATTCCAGCTATAAACAACACGAATCAAAGATGTGTTGCTGTATTTTAGTGGTAAAAAAAAATGCATTCATCATCATAATAACTATTCTATATATATATATATATATATAATTGACACAGTGCCTGTAAACCGGAGGAGAACGCTGGCCTTTCTACTTGAAAGACTACGGAGGGATAGGGTCTGCAAAATGAGTTTATGTGACCGGTCCACTTCCTGTCCGGCGCTATGCAACGCGTCAAAAATAGACTAGCATCCTATTTTTAGCGGAGCCCAGTGCCGAGACGCTTCTGGGACGCTTCTAGCCGTAACGCGTCTGGTGGAATAGCACCCATTGACTAGAGTGGCCGCGATCTTTGCGTACGCCGCGGCGCAGCCTTAACGCGACGCAGACGGACCCGGTGGAATCGAGGCGTAACAGACCTATATTTAGAACATTTACTTACCAACAGACTCCTTTCCTGAGCGTCCGACAGCAAGGTAAACTGTTTTGTTATTTACATTTTGCTGCCCCTGTCCACAGTTTATTGCTTTGTTTCCTTTTGGTGCTCCGGTCTGTTGACCTCCATATAACATAGAAAATACAAAGACCATGTGTAAGTTCCTCACACAAGCTCAAAATATCGTAATCACCCCTGTACGCAAATGGATATATAAAGTGTAGTTAAAGTATAAAAGTTACTTCCCTAAGTGACACCTTGCTGGAGGAGTTGCATGATGGTAATATATAAACTTGTTAT